TTTTTTTTTTTTTAAATCCACAGAGGGTTCACCCCAACAAACTGTCTAAGTACACAGACTTACTAGAGTCCCACAGAAAGCACAAGTCCTCCTCTTCCAGTGATACTCCTGTGAAAAATGCAAAAATCACAGCCTTCACTGCCCCACGGCTGGTAACACAAGCAACACTTGACAAGCTGGTGCAGTAGCTCAGTCCATAGGGACTTGGGTTGGGAACCAGAGGGTCACCTGTTCAAGTCCCCGTCCGGACCAAAATATGGAGCGTGGACTGGTAGCTGGAGAGGTGCCAGTTCACCTCCTGGGCACTACCGAGGTTCCCCTGAGCAAGGCACCGAACCCCCCAACCGCTCTGAGCGCCTGTCATGGGCAGCCCACTCTGACATCTCTCCACTTAGTGCATGTATAGGTCCTGTTTGTGCATGTGTGTGTTCAGACCTGTGTGAAAAACAGAGTGAAAAAATTGAAGTTCCCCTCGGGGATTAATAAAGTGTATATATAAAAAAAAAAAAAAAAATTGTATGTGAGGCCAGCCAACCATTTTCTGTGGTTGAGACACCACCCTTCAAGACTATGATAGAAACCTTGCAACCTCATACAGTAATGACAAGGAAAACGTTATGCACAAGAATTCAGGAAGCTGCAAAACACAAGAAAAGCATAATCATCAAAAAGCTGAGTGCTGTGAACTATGTTGCTACCACAACAGACTGCTGGTCTGCCAGACAATGTAGCTACCTAGGTGTCACCTGTCACTGGATAGACAACACCTCACTGGAGAGGCACTCCGCTACATTGGCTTATAGACCCGTCAAAGGCTCGCACATGTTTGACATCCTTGCTGCCGCATTAGAGGAAATACATTCTGAGTACCACATCAGGGAAATAGTGACCAGGACGACAACAGACAGTGGCTCAAACTTCCTGAAGGCCTTTTGATTATATGGTGAGGAGACAGAGGAGGAAGCCACCAATGTACAAGAGGAGAGTGACTCCACCCTTGATGATGCAACAGTAGATGAGAGTGAGTCAGAGGTGGAGTATCAAGATGTGTCTGCTATTCTGGATGACAACACAGGCCTTGAGTACCAACTTCCAAGGCACCAAAAGTGTGCATGCCATCTCCTCGATTTTATATCCACAGTTAATGCCACTGCTGCAGGAGGAGCTGCCAATGAAACCTACAAGAGGCTCTCTCGGTCTGCTTTTGCAAAATGTCACACTCTTTGGAATAACACCAGCAGGTCAACCATGGCTCATGAAACAGCGGAACGTGAATGCAAGCTGCAGTTTCTCCGACCCAATCAGACACGTTGGAGCACCCTGTTCCTCGCCGTAGAAAGGATTATGTGCATCCACAGAGAGCAAGGAGAACAAGCAATTCGCAATGTCTGCACAGCATTAAAGATAAAGATGTAAGTTGACAAAACTTATATTTTGTTTTTAAAGAATAATAAAAATAAAGAAGCCTTGCTGATTAATGGATGAATCCACCTGTCTTAAGTTTTTTTTGCATGGTGGTGTGACAATTGTGGATGATTTTAATGAAATAATTTCACTAATTTATTTTATTTTTATTTTATTTTTTAAATATCCTCCAAGGGGAATCATCGGTGCATATGGGCCTCCTGCTGCCAACACTTTACCAGTTGCGGGACAAGCTGAAGTCATCTTGCAAAATATGTACACCTCTTGTTCACGCCCTGCAGAGAGGGATCCAGAAACGTTTTGGGGGCGTCATGAAAGAGCCTGAGCTGATTGCAGCAGCAATACTCTTACCAAGATTCAGAACATCCTGGACCACAGAGGAGAACATCTTAAATGCTGGTAAATATACTTGTTATCAATTCAGATGTGAACCAGTAGACATTGACATATATACATTTGTATAATGTTACTGTCATTTAGGATTATAGTGTGTCAGTGACAAACCACAGGGTGGCAATAGTCAGAAGCTCAGGTAACTTTAATGTCAAACATCAGCAGCTTGACAGCATATACAGTAAAAGGGTAAGAATAATGCGCAGACCTAATTATTTTGAAAATGATTTATCTTGCCACAGGCCTTGACTACATCAGAAATCACCTCGACACCGACTTGGGTGATGTCACCAGCACAAACAGCAGCCTCTCTGATGAAGACGACTTCTTTGCATCCATGGAGTCAGGAAAGTCATAAGTAGGAGAGCTGGAGAGGTACCTTTCATGTCTGTCCACTGCAGGTATGGATCTACTCCACACCTTTCCTCACATCAAGAAGCTGTCACTCAAAGTCAACACAGGTCTTCCTGCATCTGCATCCTGTGAAAGACTTTTAAGTCATGCAGGACTCCTGTTCACTGCTAAACGATCACAGCTTCACTGCAAGAACCTTGAGAGCCAACTACTGTTGAAGCTTAATAGTCACATCACTGAGTGATTCTTTGGTGAAAATTTTTGTTTCTGCATTGTTTTGTCACAAACACACAGACTCAAACACACACATGCACAGTTTCAGAGTTTATGGGCTGCCTTGTTCTAGTTCTGCCTGCTGAGCCTGGTGAAAAAGTAAAAAGGTTTGGAAATTTGTGTTACTTGTGCTGTAATTTGAGTTATTTTGTAAATATTTAATTTATTTTTATTTTTGATTTATTCTGTTATTATTTTATTGATTTTATTTTTTATTGAAGTACTTGAATTTACCTGAAGAATATTTTAATTTAAGTTATTTAGTAATTATTAATTTATTTTTATTTATTTTTATTTATTTTTATTTATTTTATTATTTTATTTTTTATTGAAGTACTTGAATTTACCTGAAGATTATTTTAATGAAAGTTATTTTGTAATTATTTAATTTATTTTTTATTTATTTTATTATTTTATTGATTGGATGAACTCTAATTTACCTGAAGATGATTATTTTGTATTTTTGTCTGTCTGATTAAATGCTTGTGTTAACAAATAAATCAGACGTTATTGAACAGTTACTCAGTACTTGAGTAGTTTTTTCACCAAGTACTTTTTCACTCTCTTTCAAGAATAAACTTTCAATTTCAATGAATGTAATTCTTTAAATAGTGTTTTCAGTCATTTATCTTTGTTTGTGTTTCTAAAAGACAGCCTGTAATTTCAGCAACACTTCAAGACTTTGATTTTGAAGCTCATTAACTCATTTACACTGGAAGCTGCACTTTTTATTGTTGTGAACGTCACACAGTTTGAGCTGTGATAAGCTATGTTGACTCAGATTTTATGGGACCTAATTATTCATGATTTATGTGACTCAGAGAGGTGAAGCGGTGAAATCTCAAACTGATGTGGATTTTTTTTTTTAGGTGACCCTGTTTCTTTTTGGCTAAAAATGTTTTTTTTCTCCTGCCGGATTTTCATCTTTGTAATATTTTACTGAGTTATCTAATGGAGAAGGGTATACACTGGAATGTGCCTTGATAAAGCCCTCTGAGGATTTTTTCATCTCTCCATTGTGTTTCTGTTGCTCATGTACTACTTTTTATGCAAATGTGAAAACAAATAAACTAAACTACAAATCAACTGGAACAGATCAATAAATGTCATTCTTTCAAATTGTGTATTTTAATAATGTATCCTACTACATGGAGTTTTCTAATAAAGCCTGGAATTTCATGAACAATTCTGGGCTTTTATGTTGAAGCTCATTAACTCATTTACCCCGGAAACTGTACTCTTTACTGTCGCTAACGTCACACTTTGAACAAGATGACGGCTGGTAGAAAGGTGTGTTAACAGAGTCTCAACTTTCTGTCTCTTTTGTTGTGTTCTTAAAGTGTGAAAATGTCTAAAGTCCAAATGCTGAGATCGTTGGTGAAGCAGCGACTAACTGCGGCTGCTGAAGATATATTTGGGCTGTTTGAAAGAACGATAGCAGAGTACGAGGAGGAACTTTGTCGATCAAAAGAGGAGAACGAGCGACAATGGAAACTACTGGACGCTGTTTTCAACCCTCAGCTTCGGTTACACAGAGCAGGTTTGTTCATTAAACATTACAAGTTCATTATTAATAATATAACTGCAGCTTTGTTCAATAAATATTCAGTCTGTCGATGTTTATACGCCGCGTTAGCTTCTCTGGTGTCGTTAGCTTCTCTGGTGTCGTTAGCTTCTCTGGTGTCGTTAGCTTCTCTTGTGTAGTTAGCTTCTCTGGTGCCGTTAGCTTCTCTGGTGCCGTTAGCTTCTCTGGTGTCGTTAGCTTCTCTGGTGCCGTTAGCTTCTCTTGTGTAGTTAGCTTCTCTGGTGCCGTTAGCTTCTCTTGTGTAGTTAGCTTCTCTGGTGCCGTTAGCTTCTCTGGTGTCGTTAGCTTCTCTGGTGTCGTTAGCTTCTCTGGTGCCGTTAGCTTCTCTGGTGTCGTTAGCTTCTCTGGTGTCGTTAGCTTCTCTGGCGTTGTTGTCTTATGGAATCCGGAAGGGTTCTAAACGTCTGTTTTGTCGTCCGCATTAACAAGTCAAATATGTTCATCTTAACACGTCAAATACACATTAAGACGACAGAAATGGCCTGTTAACAGGTACATTTCTGACGTACCAAGACGTTTACTATTGGGTGCAGCCATTTCATCAGTTTTGGAGGGGAAGCTGATGTAACAGTATTCGGTATACATTGTATGCACATTTTTGTTTGTTTGTTTTATTTTTCCACGGTAAGTAGGAGGTAGTTACTAAAATGGACAGGCAGAGGGTACTTTCTGTAGCTCTGGTTGAGTATGAGAGGTTGTCAGCACGTAGAGCTCTGTGTGGGTAACTTCTTCGCAGTCTGGGGGTCCTGTTCAGATTTTAAATGTCAGGAACCTCATTTCCTGCATTCTGGCTATTTTTATGCATGAATTTGCGTTTTTTTTAATGTAATGTTTTTGAGCCCTCAAAATATACAAGATCCTTGTGATGGTAGAATTTGTCTAAATCTCTTTTCATTTCATGAACATTACAACAGTTAGATGAGGGAAACCCGTCTTAACAATGAAATATTTAAGAAACATCATCTCACAATAGAGCTTTTAGATTTAACTGCATTCTGTGTCCTTGATAAACCTGAAGCTGGATTGTTAGAGATTACATCACACATAACTAGGACCCTCATCTTTGCTGCCCAGTACATCCAGATCCTTGGGAATCCAGGACATGCCAGAAAGCTGATGATAGATATGCCAAAGAAGGTTTTAAGCTCCTCTGGAGTGATTTTCAGGCTGCCTCCAGTGATGAGCACTCTCCGCTGCTTTGTGTGCTTCCTGGTCATCTTTGTACTGTTTGAAGTAATCAGAGGGCCTCCAGTCTGGATAGCTGTGGCAAGCGTTGTTGTACAAAGTGTTCTCCTCTGCAACAGGGTTGAAACTTGAATGATAAAGAAAGGAGAGGTATAGTTTAATGAACTTTTAGCATTATACATTACATATACATATAAATTTTTAACTACATAAATCAAAAGGCTCAGTAGGTTGCCAAGTTAAGCTTTTCACCGTGTGTGTGTGTGTGTGTGTGTGTGTGTGTGTGTGTGTGTGTTTACTGTTGACTTTTTACTGTTTCCTGCAGACGTCCAGCAGCTGTCGGTGGTTAAAGAAGAGGTTCCCCCTGAGCAGCAGGAGTGGAGCTCCAGTGTGGACCAGGAGGACCCAGCGCCTCCACACATTAAATGGGAACAGGAGGAACTCTGGATCAGTCAGGAGGGAGAGCAGCTTCAAGGGCTGGAGGATGATGATATCACCAAGTTCACATCCACTCTTGTTTCTGTGAAGAGTGAAGATGATGAAGAGAAACCTCAGTCCTCACAGCTTCATCAAAGACACACTGAACAGATGGAAACAGAAGCAGAGGGAGAGGACTGTGGAGGAGCAGAACCAGCCAGGAACTCAGATCCAGATACACATTTACAACCTGAGGCTGATGTCAGTGATGATTGGAAGGAGAGCAGAGAACCTCAGTCAGGTATCTGTCAAGTCACACATTTGCTTGTCTTTAGCAAGTCTCACGTCACTGTGGTTAGAACCACCTAAGTCAAGTCAAGTCCTTGTTATGAGTCAAGCAAGTTGAGTCAGGTCAAGGAAGTCACAAGTTAAGTCGACAGGGGTTGGCTGCGGTCAGTGAGAAGTCACCGCTCCTTGCTTAAGGGCGGCCGGCCCGAATGTCAATCTCGGGCACGGCTTGGCGTGGTATGGCATGTCTAAAGTCCCTATGGAAATACAAATTGGATTGACTTTAGTCTGCACAGCCAAGAATGGCAATGGAAAAACGATATTACTACCCCTTTAATCGGGCCCTGCCACTCAGAGTTGATTTGGCTACGGGAGTTTTAAAAGCTTGCAAATTATTTGCAGTATTTGTCTTTCCCTCACTGCTTTTTGTCACAATAGAGGTGCCAAACAACGTTAATCAGTATCTGCATGTGTGTATGTGCATCATTTGAAGCTCATGACCTGGGACTTTGAGGTGCAGGAGGATGTTGTTCTGTAGTGTATAGGCTAGCTGTATTCTGTCTGTTGGCTTAAATTAGGAAAACAATAAATTTGGGTTCAATGAAGCGTGAGGAGCAAAGGAGAAGAGAGAAGGAGAGGAGGATGGTGCTGTAAGATCAGGTCACATTACTGTATATTGTTCAGGAATATGTTTGAGTTTGGAGCGTTCAGACGTGTTGGAGTTTTTGGATATTGGACATTATGGACATTTCATGTAGGCTACAGTGGGTTGCATGTCATATTTGTGAGATTTGATTCAAAGTGACAGCCACTGGATGAAAACATAATGAGTGAGTTGATTTATATTCATTTTTTGTGATGATAAAGGCTTGTTATAGATGCTGGCTTTCTGACCTTTTTCAAAAACAGTGTTGTTTGTTGCTGCTTGTGTTGCAGACCGCTGTGTCTTCTTGGTTATTGTATTAATTGCAGGAGGCCACTGTTGCTGACACACTTGTGGTTTGTTGTTGTGTGTGGCTTGATTGTGTTGGCTTTATGGCTGTGTGGCTGTATCTTATGGTTTTCTAACATCACTGAAAGTCAAACTGTGTGTTCATTTTTCTTCTGTCTTTAGGTGCCCCGTTAGTTAAATCTGCCTTTGTGTCCTTTATCTCACTGAGGTTTTGAGCAAATCTTAAGTTTAATCCATGATGGTGACCATGGTTCTGAAACACCCTATCAGCAGTTTCTGCTGCTTAAATATCAAGAGGTCACTGTTAAATGATGATGGTGCTGAAATAGCACACCCTGTTGTAATCTGCATTTCTCTCTGTTTGGTCCCTCTGTCTTCATAGTTTTCACCTTGGATCTGTCTCGCATCTCAGTACAGCCTATAGGTCAGTCCAAACACTGTGGGCAGCTGTACTGGTGAAGTTAGTTTTAAGTTGGATATTTGACAGACACTCACTTTAGACTAAGGCTGCCCCCTAATAGTTGACCAAACGTTAATCGACCAGAGAGGTAAAAGACACTCAAATAAACATGAAACTCTATTAGGAGCTGCGCCATGTCAAAATAAATCAACACCTATATGACTGGACCATGTTGGAATTTAATTTGAAAGGGCAGACACAGGAAGTGGTGATGCTCAGCAGTCAGACAGGAGTCATGTTAATTTCCAGGGCTGGTACCTGCGGTTATTCCACAGGCTAGTTAATAACATGTCAGGCAGGAAATCCAAAGTGTGGGATCATTTTTAGAAGGTGAAGGATGAACCCAAGGTGATATGTTAACTCATCTTCATTGGTCGACTACAAACATGACGCATCATCTGTCAGTAGCTACATGCCCTTTAGCCACTTAGCACAATCATTACTGCTTTGCAGACAGCGTCATTAACAGGCGGCTCGCTCAGTGTGTGACGTGCACTTGTAGATAAAATATAGGCCTTTATTAATGAAGGTTCATTATAGTGATGTCATGAGAACCGATACTCGCGATACCTTTCGATGCCATGATGAAAAAACCCTGGCAATACTCATTTTTTTGAAAAAATGGAAGACCCGATACCAGCGTAAGAATTGGTGCTGTGACTCCTGTGGAACTGATGGGGGGCAGTATACGCCATATAGCGCTACAGGCCATGCCTACATTGAGAGCAAGGGGGTGACGAGGAAGAGGAGAGAGCGGCTGCCTGCTAAAGCCCACATTCAGAACCAGCCACAACCGTGCTTTAGGCCAGAAAATAGATCTGCTCACAATATATGCAGTTTTAAACACCACTTTGTCTGTTTATTAATTGCTTTTAACTCGTTCCGAATTGCTTCTGAATCGTCCAAGCTTTGTCCGGACTCCCGACATCTCCCTCTCTCCCCCAGCCCCTCCCCTGGGAGAGAGTCTGGTGGTCTCCTATGAGCCCAGCCTTCGAGACGTACAACATTCCGTTAAGTGTCAGTCAGTTCAGCAAGAAATATCCCAATTAAAATCAGTAGCATCATAAGCAGATATGTTCCATGTTATTTTGTTTAATTTCAACAACACAGAGGACAGCTTGAACCAGCTGCATGTGAGCTAACGATCAGGGATTTCACTCTCAGCAGTACATGACTGCGCATGCGTGTCTACTTCCAAAACACAGCGGTTGGGGTGTGTTTGATTTATTGTACTGGGACATTTGATTTTTTCCACAGCTGGACCATGGACGTCAAAAACACTGTTTGCACCGGGACAGGACAAACAATAAATGAAACCAATGAAATTCCACACATTCTTGTGGTCGGCTCAAACACTGTCAGCGTGATTTAAATAGTAAATATTTCAATAGTTTATTGAGTTTATTGCGGTTAATACCCATGTATTCTCAAAATATTGAATAGTCAATTTGTTATCTACATTGAAGAGATACTCTTCTATAAGACATGGGTGAATATTTCAATATTGTTCCTTTTCAATCAATCAATTTTATTTATAAAGCCCAATATCACAAATCACAATTTGCCTCACAGGGCTTTACAGCATACGGCATCCCTCTGTCCTTTGGACCCTCATAGACCCTTATTTGGACTTTTGAAATCCAAAAAAAAAAAGAAAACAAATTGACGTTATTATATTTAGATTAATGGGCAGTACCTGGTAGCCTTGCCAGCCCAAATTAAGTATAAATAAACATAAAAAAACCCTCGTATTTGCAGTATATTAAATTGTTTGTGATCTAAAATTATCACACACTGGAGTCTGTCAGCTCTAATATCATGTGCAACGGATGCTGAAGCCGTTGTTTCGGGGTGCACCTGCAGTTATAAAACCATTATTAGACTAAAACATTAACAATTCTCATACCAAAGCTGGCGGAGCATCCCAGCAGGTACAAGTTAGCTTACCGTTTTTAGCTGGTATGTCATGTTGGTTGTAAAGCTCTTATTTGAAATAAAATAAAATAAATTAAAACAATATTTCTACCTGCTTGCGGAACTTGAAAGTTAGCCAAATTCAAATGCCAACTGCACACAATAGGATATAGATACATAAAAAATGACAAGACATGTTGAAAGATGAGGTAGTGAAGTTTTTTTCAATATAGTATTGAATTTGGGCATAGTTCTTTCTTGTCTATATATTTCAAAGAATACACGATGTAAATGTAGCTTTGTCTGTGTTGGAAAAAGTGTAAACAGGGTGGTCACGCCCATTTCTAATGCCATTTTCAGGCTACGCTAGTATTTTTCAATCATTTTAAATTCGGCCAGTATAAAAAATGTCAGAAAAGCAGATTTGCTGGGCTTATTAAGGGTGATAAGCGTCATTGTCCTGAATTTATAAAATGTGGTCACAGTAAGATTAAGTTACAATTACGTGATTGATAATACTGTAGATAATATAACCTCCGGAGACACACAAATCACATTAAAAGTAAAATTTATGTCATTTAGAAATAATGACTAGACAATGATTCTTAAAATTGAAGTAACAGTTTTATTGATTTTGTTGTTTTATCTCTGTAATCTGGATCTTTGTTGATGTTGTTCAAGGTGTTGCTGGACCGCAGATGCCTGCACTTGCACCCACTTTTGTGGAAGCGATTACAAAGCTGGAGCAAACAATTGAGCAGCTCAAGACGAAAAGAGACAAGCTCCGTAGTGCAGCAGTAAATGCACTCAAGACACCAGGCACAAGCATGCCACCAGCAGCTACAAACTTAGCAGGTAGAGTGATGCTGTAAAATTTTGTGTTATTCACTTTTCACTTCAGTTACACTGTTTTTTTTTTGTTTTTGTTTTTTGGAACAAGTTTAAATTTTAATTTCCACAAGGTTTGTAGGTGTACATCAATAAATCCACTTTGTCAATCTCAAAACAAATGTATATACCTAGGCATTGATTAATAGGCAAACTCTAAAGATTCCTTCCACTGACAAATGGACATAGTGTGGAGTGGTCACAATATCCTACGTTTTCACAGTGCCAACCGATTTTGTAGGGCTTTAAAATCCACAATGGACAGACTGCTGACATTAGGGACCTTGAGCAACGAATTTTATTATCATCAGGTATTTATACTAAGGGCTCAGTTTTGTTTTATTTATTTGGTAGAGCATTTGCCCGCTGTCTAGGCCTGTCACAATAATGCCAGACAGACAACCTCACTGCTCAGCTTTACCTGTGCTTAGCACACATTCACCATCACTATCTGCAACCATAGAAAATAATTACCACTCGACCTCTCTTGCTCTCACTGCGATATGCTCCTATGACCAGTCGGTAGTGGCAGTGTTTATTAGTTTACCTTTATCATTGGGTCTAAATCAAAAATACTCCCAGAGACAATTTTCGTGTGCTTTACTAGTTAGTACTGTAACTCCATATTTCTGTTCAGCTGCACTGCCATGTAGAGACTGACCCCTGGTGGCGTTACACCTCATCTACACCTGGCATTAACATGCGTTTTGGGTGATCAGATTGCAATCGGATAGTGCTTTACCACATGAAAGTACAGGTGTAAATGCACCCAAGACACTTTGAGGACAGACTGTGATCCGATTGGCAAAACCACCTCTGGAAGTGGTTTGATGTGGTCATTGTGACCTCATCGAACACAAGTATAAACAGTGAAGCGTCCTGTATCCACATAGGACAACTACTTGTGCGGAAATAAGTAATTGCGGCGCACGGTACAGCTTCCAAGCAAAACAGCATGATGCATTGCATATGGATAATGTAATGCAAGAAACTCGTGGATGTAGAGTGTAAGGTTGCAAAACTCCAGGATTTTTCAAAGTTGGAAACTTTCCATGGGAATTAATGGGAATAAACAGGAATATATGGAAATAAACCGCAATAAACCAGAAATTTACAAAATTGAAGGCTGGCACGTAACAGGGAATTTAAATATAGTTGGGGAAAATATATTGTAACATAATCTTGGCTAAAACAACCAGATCTAATGCAAGCACACTTGAATATACAGTACAGGCCAAAAGTTTGGACACACCTTCTCATTCAATGCGTTTTCTTTATTTTCATGACTATTTACATTGTAGATTCTCACTGAAGGCATCAAAACTATGAATGAACACATGTGGAGTTATGTACTTAACAAAAAAAGGTGAAATAACTGAAAACATGTTTTATATTCTAGTTTCTTCAAAATAGCCACCCTTTGCTCTGATTACTGCTTTGCACACTCTTGGCATTCTCTCGATGAGCTTCAAGAGGTAGTCACCTGAAATGGTTTCCACTTCACATGTGTGCCTTATCAGGGTTAATTAGTGGAATTTCTTGCTTTATCAATGGGGTTGGGACCATCAGTTGTGTTGTGCAGAAGTCAGGTTAATACACAGCCGACAGCCCTATTGGACAACTGTTAAAATTATGGCAAGAACCAATCAGCTAACTAAAGAAAAACTAGTGGCCATCATTACTTTAAGAAATGAAGGTCAGTCAGTCCGGAAAATTGCAAAAACTTTAAATGTGTCCCCAAGTGGAGTCGCAAAAACCATCAAGCGCTACAACGAAACTGGCACACATGAGGACCGACCCAGGAAAGGAAGACCAAGAGTCACCTCTGCTTCTGAGGATAAGTTCATCCGAGTCACCAGCCTCAGAAATGGCAAGTTAACAGCAGCTCAGATCAGAGACCAGATGAATGCCACACAGAGTTCTAGCAGCAGACCCATCTCTAGAACAACTGTTAAGAGGAGATTGCGCCAATCAGGCCTTCATGGTCAAATAGCTGCTAGGAAACCACTGCTAAGGAGAGGCAACAAGCAGAAGAGATTTGTTTGGGCCAAGAAACACAAGGAATGGACATTAGACCAGTGGAAATCTGTGCTTTGGTCTGATGAGTCCAAATTTGAGATCTTTGGTTCCAACTGCCGTGTCTTTGTGAGACGCAGAAAAGGTGAACGGATGGATTCCACATGCCTGGTTCCCACTGTGAAGCATGGAGGAGGAGGTGTGATGGTGTGGGGGTGTTTTGCTGGTGACACTGTTGGGGATTTATTCAAAATTGAAGGCACACTGAACCAGCATGGCTACCACAGCATCCTGCAGCTACATGCCATCCCATCCGGTTTGCGTTTAGTTGGACGATCATTTATTTTTCAACAGGACAATGACCCCAAACACACCTCCAGGCTGTGTAAGGGCTATTTGACCAAGAACGAGAGTGATGGAGTGCTGCGGCAGATGACCTGGCCTCCACAGTCACCGGACCTGAACCCAATCGAGATGGTTTGGGGTGAGCTGGACCGCAGAGTGAAGGCAAAGGGGCCAACAAGTGCTAAACACCTCTAGGAACTCCTTCAAGACTGTTTGAAAACCATTTCAGGTGACTATCTCTTGAAGCTCATGGAGAGAATGCCAAGAGTGTGCAAAGCAGTAATCAGAGCAAAGGGTGGCTATTTTGAAGAAACTAGAATATAAAACATGTTTTCAGTTATTTCACCTTTTTTTGTTAAGTACATAACTCCACATGTGTTCATTCATAGTTTTGATGCCTTCAGTGAGAATCTACAATGTAAATAGTCATGAAAATAAAGAAAACGCATTGAATGAGAAGGTGTGTCCAAACTTTTGGCCTGTACTGTATATTTATGCTATTCCTCAGACACATTTATTGTTCAATACAAGAATTAAAGTTTTAAAGTGATACTCAAAAATAAAAAACATGAAATATTTTTTTTATTTTGCATGGATGTTTGTTTGTGACAAAACAAGATGTATATATTTATGTTTGGATACAATACAGTTTGCTTAAATTAACCCCATTTTACAGTTCATTCCCATAATTTCCCAATAATTCCCATAATTCTAATTTGGAATATTTAAAAAATTCCCCAGCTTAATTTACCATGGAAATTTTCTGGAAATATACAGGAAATTTTATGCCCATTTGCAACCCTAATGGAGCCAAGGCAAGACCAGGTGTTATGTCATGTCTGTCTTGTTGGGATTTTATAACCACACCGTAATCCCTGCATTGTGTTGTATTTGGAAATTTACTGTAAGCTGTGCACGTTCAATTTCCATGTTGGTGCAATCCGATCTATGTGGATTGATACCTTATTATAGTTTTATACCGTCCAAGCCTACTGTTGGCCTTACCTGTAGGCTTGCATTGTGCAAATATCCTTGGAGGGGAATTTCTAGTTTATTGATTATAGAGTCAGCTGACTTGACTGACTGTTTTTTTGGTCAGTGTCCTCTACCAGGTCAGGTAAAAGCAGGGCACACATTTTTGTTGTCATAGTCAATGTCAAGCCGTTTTTAGCTATAAGGTTTAATGGGCATAATTACAAAATCGATTTAAGTAATCTCCAATAGATGGGAACATTATCATCGTTCCTTTGTTTGTGTGGGACCAGTTAAACCATAAATGTTAAAAATCTGTGTCAGATTCTACAAATAACAACCTTAAGCATTGATGGCAGGCCTACCTACATTCCCTCTTATATTGCTGACCACTGCCTGCTGATGGGCTACTCACACAACTCTCCTATTTCCCTCTGTGACTACTCTCAAGTACCCAGTGTGGCATCCTGTAACACACCTGAAACACCCACCTTAGTAGGCTTGAGGCATTTTTATTCTAAGGTTAAAAAATTAACCTGGTCTTAACCTTCAATGTAACCATCTGGCCACATTTATAACTTTGGTCTTGCCACCACTCTGGTACTGTTCTCCTGTGCTTCAAACCCTAGAAGTATCATTTTTAATGGCTATAAATATTGTATTTTGTGTAGCTCACAAGCGCAAAAGGGAGTCCTCCTGCTCCTCGTCCTCGTCCGCCTCCTCCTCCTCCTCAACCTCAAGGGAATCATCTCCGGAGAAAAAGAACGGGAAGCATAAGAAAAGACACCACAAGAAAGGGAAGGACAAGAAAGTGAAAAAGAGGAAGGAGAAGTTTCCCAAAAGAGGTATGTGCTGCTTTTTGCATGTCTTTTACAGTTTGAATGTTATTTGTTCTTTATGTTTAATATTGATGAATAATTCAACACTAAATACAATATACCATGCCATACCATTCCAACTTGATTCTGTACCCGCTGCAGCAAAAAAAAAATATTTATGCACTGTTTTTGTTTGGCATCTTTATCAGGGGTATTGCTTTATAGCAGTCAAACTGATATATTGCATATTCTTATTCTGCCCAAATTTCTAAGCTGAAGCTGCCCACAGTTTTCATGGTATCAACACCAAACCAAAAGCAAAACATCAGAGATTCAGGCTACATCCACATGAAGCTGGAGCTGTCTGCATCCTATTTTCCTTGTTCATCCGTAAACACGGCGCCTTTTAGAGAAATATCTGCGTCCAGAAGAAAACCACTCAAACAGACTCAAAACACTGTAGTATACATGCCAGGTCAGACTTGGCGGGGTTGAGGGTGATGGTTCTTTTGTTGTTCAGACTGACAGTTAAAGGAGTCATCACCCAGGAACCACATTTTTCATTGTTAATACATGTAAATTGCAGTTGGACTCCTCTCCTGCAGACAGCAGAGCTGTGCTGTCAGGCTGTCAGGAGATTCAGCAGGAGAGCCTGCTCTGCAGAATAGGGGAAAGCGAGGGGGACAGCAGTGGACCTGGTCCCACCTCCGTCCATTGGCTCTGCAGTGTCAGCGTGTGCCTCATTATCATTATTACAGTGAGCATCCGGACCAATGTTAAAACTGTTTTCAAAGTTTTGGTCTCCAAAAACGCCAGATCTGTGTGAACGTAAGGTTTAAATGATACAAAACGTGTGGTTTCAGTAAAACTCATCTCCATGTGGACGGCCCATCGGAGAAATAGATATAGCCAGAGTTGTTGAGGTGATCATCAAATCTTGCCATATTGATTAGCTACTCAAGCTATCTCATGTTGTTGGATCACAACTATTTAACCTTTTCACTGTTTCTTTAGGTCTTAAACAACACCACCACCACCACCACCACCACTACTACTGATACTGGCAACAGAACAACCACTTGCATTAATATTACTGTTGCAAATTAATATTATCCAGCAATTTACTTTACAATATTATTCTGTCTGTGATTAAAATTACCAGTTGTCTTATGTTGAATTTCTTGTCTTGTAGTTGTTGATGAGGGTGATGTCATCCAACGCTATTCAGTTCTCCTGGTCCACTACCAAAAATGCAGGAGCATGAAGTGGACAGCGAAAAAATACGACATCGATCCAGCAACAATCCGAAACACCGCAGCGATTGCTGAAGTTAGGATCGCTGCCCCAGAGCTAGATCCACCGCCAAGGGGAGAGGGGCAGACGCTCCTTAAATATGCAACAACCGTCAGTGAGTTCATAAATGGAGTTCCAGAATTAAAAAAAAAAATCACAGACATGAAAAAGAAAAAAGAGTTACTCCCCTGATGTTGTTTTCCCCTCATTGTCGTAGGTTTGTGTTCAAAATGTTTGTTAAATGTGGATTTTGTTTTACCATATTTTCATTTTATTATATTTAGTTTTATCAAAATGTAGTAGTGACCTATAGTTGTAGTTAATGTAGTTTACCCTCCTGTGGTCTTTGGGTCAAATGACCCATGTTCACTTTTCTTTTATATCAAAAATGTGTTTTTTTTCCATATAATTGCCTGAAAAAGACACAAGGGTTAATGTAGTTAACCTGTTCAAGAGACAATTTAATAAAGTCTCAAAATTGATCTTTCTATGCGTCTTTTCTTCTTCAGATGTGTGGCACGAATAGTACTGCAACTGAAGATTATTTTCATAATCGATAAACCTGTCGCTTATTTTTATGAATTGATCAGTGTTGTGGTCTGTACGCTAATGACATGTAACAATCCATACTTTGTATCAAATTAGACAGAGCTTTATTGTATATGTCCTGTGATTATTTATATGGGGAGTAATGTAATTTACAGATGACATTGAAGGCAACAAAAGAAATGGTTTCTTCACTGGTTCTGCGTGGGAAGGGTTACAACCTTAGTTTTATTCTTCTTCTCATGAGTCAGTCAAGGGAAACGTTAATTTCCTTAGGTATTGATTGGTTGGGGGGAGAGGGAGGGGCGGGACAACCCTATCAGAGCGCCATGCTAGTTTGTGTGAGGGGAGATTGATTCATCCAACACAGTAGGTGGCGGTAATGCACCTTAATGTTGGTTGCCACCCGCCATAAAACATCAAAAAAAAAAAAAGAAGAGATCGATTCATTCGCTAGTCTGATGTGTCTCGGTCTGAGGACAGCGAAGAAGCTCCAGACAGTTGTGTAAGTACCTGAACATTATTGCGACCGGTGCATTGTAATAATTGTAACCTTGTGTTTAAATATTTTTATTGAGGCATCATCATTGCATATGGCAACCAGATACATGAACTTGATCTTATTAGAGGCTAATTAGGTATAAATTACAGCAAAACCGTACTCTAAATTAAAGTCTGCACCGTTCCGCCTTATTCAACCTGAACTTGATCTTATTAGAGGCTAATTAGGTATAAATTACAGCAAAACCGTACTGTACACTGAAGTGTATTATTCAAAGTTTTAAACAAATACAACAACCAATAAAAACTTCTGGGTAAGGGTTACACAGGAAGGTGCAACACCCCTTGACGCAGGGGCTCCAGGGATGAAGAGTTAATGTTGCCCCACCGTCCAGTCCACTTGCTGTAGCATGTTTTAAGTGTTCAGCTGCATGTCTTCAGACATCTTGTGTTCCCTCTTTAAGTGACTTCAGGACGGCGTCTGTAAAAGTTGGAAGACAAAAAGCGTTAGCAATGCATAAGCAATCTGTAAGCCATGCACTTGAGCACACTGCCTGCATAAATATATAGCTCCATTTGCTGCATAACAAAGCTAGAGAAACTACATTATACTACCTCAGTCAAATACACATGTTGAAAAGTGCTGCAACCAGCAAAAGAATCAAACATCTAAAATACTTCATATGTCAGGGTTCAATATAACATTTCTTCCCTAGTATTTTCACTGGCCCGGCCGCTAAAAAAATTAAAATAACTTCTTTTTTTTTTTTTACCTAAGTTTTATTAATTTATTGATTTCATTTCACATTAATTTCATTGAAATGAATTCACATCAATTGTACACATTTCAGATAATAACAGATAACTAACAGACTAATTATAATTTATCAGAGAAGAGAATTTTGGACTGTTGAAGCTGAAATATACATAGTGTACCTGTATAAAAAGCAGGCTATATTATTTTTTCAGATATTTGCTTTCTAATTATTATCATGTTTATTATTATTACTATTATGATCATCATCATCATTTTCATTATCTATATTACTCTTATTCTTATTACAACAACATTTAGCATCTTCTCTTATTCATTAATGTAACTAAGTAGGCATTCTGGGCTTATACGAACTGTGTTTTTCGGTGTACGACACTTGAGAATTATTTTGAAGAAACATTTTATTTGTGAGGATTGTTAGTAAGTTAATATTCATGTACCCTTATCTGAGCACACATATACAGCCTCTGAACTTCGACAAAAAACACTGTACTTACTCTAGATAGTAGCGACTGCAACTCACTGTGTCTCTCCGTCAAGGTTACAATTATTACAGTGCACCGACCACATTAATGTTCAGGTACTTACACAACTTTGTGGAGCTTCTTCGCCGTCCTCCCACCTAGACACATCAGACTAGCGAATGAATCGAGCCCTTCTACTTCTTCATGTTTTATGGCGAGTGGCAACCAACGTTAAGGTGCATTACCGCCACCTACTGTGTTGGATGAATCAATCTCCCCTCACACAAACTAGCATGGCGCTCTGATAGGGTTGTCCCGCCCCTCCCTCTCCCCCCTACCAATCAATACCTAAGGAAATTAACGTTTCCCTTGACTGACTCATGAGAAGAAGAATAAAACTAAGGTTGTAACCCTTCCCACGCAGAACCAGTGAAGAAACCATTTCTTATGTTGCCTTCAATGTCATCTGTAAATTACATTACTCCCCATATCAATAATTACAAGACTGAACATTACATATACAATAAAGCTCTGTCTAATTTGATACAAAATACAGATTTTTACATGTCATTAGCGTACAGACCACAACACTAATCAATTCATAAAAATAAGCGACAGGTTTATCGATTATGAAAATGATCTTCAGTTGCAGTACTATTCGTGCCACACATCTGAAGAAGAAAAGACACATAGAAAGATCAATTTTGAGACTTTATTAAATTGTCTCTTGAACAGGGTAACTACATTAACCTTGTATCGTCTTTTTCAGGCAATTATATGGAAAACAACAACAACACATTTTTGATATAAAAGAAAAGTGAACACAGGTCATTTGACCCAAAGACCACAGGAAGGTAAACTACATGAACTACAACTACAGGTCACTACTACATTTTGATCAAACTAAATTTAACATGTTTATGTTAAATCTTAACATAAACATTTTGAACACATAAACCTACGACAATGAGGGGAAAACAACATCAGGGGAGTAACTCTTTTTCTTTTTCATGTCTGTGATTTTTTTTTTTAATTCTGGAAGTCCATTTATTAACTCACTAACAGTTGTTGCATATTTAAGGAGTGTCTGCCCCTCTCCCCGTGGCGGTGGATCTAGCTCTGGGGCAGCGATCCTAACTTCAGCAATCGCTGTGGTGTTTCGGATTGTGGCAGGATCGATGACGTATTTTTTTGCTGTCCACTTCATGCTCCTGCATTTTTGGTAGTGGACCAGGAGAACTGAATAGCGTTGGACGACATCAACCTCATCGACAACTACAAGACAAGAAATTCAACATAGGACAACTGGTAATTTTAATCACAGACAGAATAATATATTGTGAAGTAAATTGCTGGGTAATATTAATTTGCAACAGTAATATTAATGTAAGTGGTTGTTCTGTTGCCAGTATCAGTAGTAGTAGTGGTGGTGGTGGTAGCACTTATGATAATGATAATGAGTGAGGATACACATTTCAGTGGGGTCACAATGACCACGCCAATCGAATCACAGTCTGTCCTCATTTACACCTGTACTTTCATGTGGTAAATCACTATCCGATTGCAATCTGATCACCCAAAACTTATGTTAATGCCAGGTGTAGATGGGGTGTAACGCCACCAGGGGTCAGTCTCTACATGGCAGTGCAGCTGAGTTTGTCAGTTAATAAAAGCTGCAGCTTCTCAAGAACAGTGTGTGAGAGCAGTATCACTATGACAATCAGCTAAGTCTACATTAAGGCAGTACTACTGTACAGTAGAGTCCTTTCCCACAAGTTTTACACAAATACCATCATAATACTCTATACCCTGGTAAAATGTCAGGAGGGTATGAAGGTATGAAAAAAGGGATAATGCTCAAACCTAGCCTTGTATCCATCAGTGATATTGTAAACTGCATGTCATTTGTGAATCAGATGCAGTGTGACAGCAATGGTAGGTTAATTGTCCACTATTCTTTTGGATTTCTGTTATAAAGACAGCGGTAGGCCTGTCAGAATAACAAATTTTGCAGGACGATATATTATCCCAGAAATTATTGCAATAAATGTTATTGTCAATGTCGTTTTGAGACCATTTTTCAAAATATAATGAAAATATAATGCAATTACACCCTTTCAAAGAGAAATAAACTTGTATTTTCAAGAATATTTAAGATTTGAATTGCAATGTGAGGAAGAAAATTAAAATATCCTAAATAAATGAAACAAAACAACCCAAAACAACCAAAAACAATAAATAAAATGAACTGGTGATATATTGAGGTCAGCAAAATTATTGAGTTCATTAATTGATTTATTGATTGTTGTGACAGGCCTAGACAGCGGGCAAATGCTTTACCAAATAAATAAAGCAAAACTGAGCCCTTAGCATAAATATCTGATGAAAAGAAATTTGTTGGTCAGGTCCCTAATGTCAGCAGTCTGTCCACTGTGGATTTTAAAGCCCTACTGACAGGCCTCAGTTTGTTAGACAAAACAATAGACAGTCTGACACACTTTTTACTAGAACTGGGGCCCCTCAGGGAACTGTTTTGGCCCCTTTCTTGTTCTCTTTATATACAGCTGACTATAGATGCAGTCATAACTGCTGTCATCTCCAAAAATATGCTGATGATTCTGCACTAGTTGGCCTAATTATAAATGGCTAAATTTGTCAAATGGTGTGAGAGCAATTATTTAATCCTGAATGTCATTAAAACAAAGGAGTTAGTTATTGACTTCAGAAGAAAGAAAGACAAGTGTGCTCCAGTCTTCATTAATGGAAACCCAATTGAGATTGTCTCATCATACAAATACCTGGGTGTACATATTGACGAGGGCTTGAACTGGAAGACACTAATGCTGTAGTCAAAAAGGCTCAGACGAGATTGTTCTTCCTCAGGAAACTGAGATCTTTCGATCTAGGGAGGAGCTTATTGAATGTTTTTTATCAAAGCATTGTAGCCAGTGTGCTATTCTATACTGTTGTATGCTGGGGCAACAGCATTTCAGCCAATGATAAAAACAGAATCAATAAGTTTATTAAAAAGGGTGGATCCATAGTTGGATGTCCATTCAATTCCCTTGACAGTGTTATGGAAGTTAGAATTAGGAGGAGGTTGAAGGCCATACTAGATCATGATAGTCACCCTCTACACGGCATATTCAGCAGCCTGCGGAGTACTGTCAGTGGTCAGCTGTTAATGCCAAAATGCTCTACTGGGCGTTTTAGAAGGACATTTGTTCCCTCTGCTATAAGGCTTGCCTATAAAGGTTAATGCTACCTGTTTCTGTATGGTTGTATTCACAGCACAGTACAGGCCTAAATTATGTAATGGATTCCACACTGTACCTCCACCCTGAAGTGTACTGGAGTCTGCATTATTGTACTTGTTTTGTTTTGGAATGTGATGCAATTACTGTAATTGGCATCACTGCATTGTAGATCCTTGCCACCAATCAGTGTTTCTAGGGAGTTTCTGTGTACATTTCTGTATTGTTTGTTGACTTGTATGTATATTTTATGTGGCCCTTTGTGACATCTGTTTTTCTGTCATTTCTTATGCACTGGTGACCAGATCAATTTCCCCTCTGGGGATTAATAAAGTGTATTTATTTATTTTATTAATTTAAAATTGGTTGGCACTGTGAAAACGTAGGATATTGTGACCACTCCACACTATGTCCATTTGTCAGTGGAAGGAATCTTTAGAGTTTACCTGTTAATCAATACCTAGATATATATATTTGTTTTGAGATTGACAAAGTGGATTTATTGATGTACACCTACAAACCTTTTGGAAATTAAAATTTTAACTTGTTCCAAAACAAAACAAAACAGTCTAACTGGAGTGAAAAGTTCAGTTATGGAGTATTATCATTAATTATGTCGACTTTACCACTGATGTAAAGTTTAACACCATAAACACACTTTAGGGATGGGGCCTATCCGATCCAGTATCGGTATCGGGTTCCGATTCGGTACGCGGCTGTTGTTGCAGCTTCGTCTTGCAACTTTAAAAATGACTAGTCAAGACTCTCATCTTTAGTGAATGAAAAAAGGCACGTTAGCTTGCACAAACGAGGAGTAGCCCACACAGCTTGGCTGCTAACCGCTAACAACAACAACAGAAGCTAACTGACGTCATCACGTGACACGTATCCCTCCGTGAGCATTATGGGTAGTGAAGTCCCTTTTAATACAAAATATTCAAATGAAATGTACAGTCTTCTTTTAACTAAATATTTACCACATTAACTGTCTTTACATGAATATTACTGTATTAATAATCCTTACTAATATGTTTCTTCAAAAAAATTTCTCAACAGTGTCGTGCTCTGAAAATAACAGACATACAAGCCCAGAATGCCTACTTAGTTGCACTAATGAACAAGAGAAGATGCAATATAGATATGTATATAGATAATGATAATGATGATGATGATGACTGTAGGGAAAAATGTTATGTTGAACCCCGTGCATACATATGTACATGCCATACTTGCCTATAGAGAGGAGTTTATTACAGCCTCATATAAAATCAACAATAATGATAATAAAAATATTAAAGCAAACAGAGTTCTGGTATCAGAATAGTATCGGTATCGGCGGATATCCAAATTGAGGTATCAGGATAGGATCGGAAGTGAAAAAATGAAAAGGAAAAGGAACAGCATTTTGATTGACTATCACAAGCCGGGCAAACGTGAGTTAACCAGATCTTAATTAACATGTAGACAAATATATAACACATGCTGAATAGATATAATATTTACACCTTCCTAGTTACTGTACCTACATTACTTTGTTCCATAACAGCCATTACCAGCAGTGGCGGTTCTAGGCCAGTCAATGGGGGGGGGCCAAGCTAGGGCCACTCCTTTTGATACGGGGCACATACAAGTA